TACTCGAACGTGCGGCTGCTCGAAAGCCTCTGCGACCTCGATATTGGCGGCGACGACTGGATCCTCGCGGCGCGCCTCGGCAACGTCGGGGTTTTAGCTTACTTTATCGAGCACAAGCAGCCGACGTACCTGCCGTTGGCCATGGCGCACGCTCTGCGCACCGGCCAAGCGTCGGTGGTCGAGTATTTGCATGGCCAAGGCGCCACGATCCCGCCGTTCGCGGCCAGCGTCGCGTGCAACGGCGGGCACCTACCGCTCGTGAAGCTCCTTCGCCACCTCGACGCCTGGCGCCCAGTGAACCCGAGCCTCGTGGCCAAGCAAGGGCACCTCGATGTCCTGGCGTACCTCCACGAGGAAGGCTGCGGCGGCTTTACCGCCGAGACCATGGACGAGGCCGCAACTGCGGGGCACCTCGAGGTCGTCCGGTTCCTGCACACGCACCGAAGGGAGGGATGTACGCCCAAAGCCCTCGCCGGCGCCACAAAGAACAAGCACTGGGACGTGGTGCGCTACCTCAACCGACACCGGCCTGAAAGCGTGCGGCTGGTCGCCGACTTTGCCAAGCCCAACAGCTCGGTGCACCATCGAGCGACGCGCGCGGCGAGCAGCCCGCCGACGCGGTACGGTTCGCCGCGGGTGGTGGCAGCGACCGACGCCGACGCCGTCGACTTTCGACGCAACAACGGGTTTCCGCTTTGGACAGCCCACGTGCTCTTGACGGCGATACGCCAAGACCGACTCGACATCGTGGCCTACGCCAACGAGCACAAGCTGGGCGTCTTCTCGACGGCGGCCATGGACAACGCCGGTCGGTTCGGCTGCCTCGAGATCTTCCGGTACCTGCACCAGCACCAGTGCGAGGGCTGCACAAAGGCGGCGTGGACCGGCGCTGTCGCCAACGGCCACCTCGGCATTGTGCGGTACATGGTCGAGAACGACTTTGCCGTTGTCGACTTGAAGGTCGGTCGGCAGCTTGCGATTGCCAGCGGCCGCACGAGCCTCACGTCGTACATCAAGTCGGTGGGCCCAGCGCGATCTTCGTGCGCAGTCCAGTAGGTCGCTATTTAATGTGTGTACAATTGTTGACGTCTGTACATTTTGAAGACAGGTTGTCATCGGATAATTCATAAGTGTAGCTTATATATAGGCGCTCGTGAGCAATGCTAGCCGTAGCAGCGAATGCGGTCCGTAGAGCCGACGCGGGCGCACTGCCCGCCCTTCTCGAGGTAGCGCTGGTGGTAGTCTTCGGCATGGTAGAACGTACCCGCGGGTTCGATCTCGGTCACAATCTCAGAGGGAAACTTGTCGGCTTCGTCGCGCTTGACGGCCTCGGCGATCTCGCGCTGCTCGTCGCTGTGGTAGTAGATACCGGAGCGGTACTGCGTGCCGACGTCGTTTTTCTGGCGGTTGCGCGTCGTCGGGTTGTGGATCGCAAAGAAGTTCTCAACGAGCTGCTTGAACGAGATCTTGTTTTCGTCAAACTTGATCTGGACGGCCTCGGCGTGGCCCGAATCGCCCGCGCACACTTGGCGGTACGTCGGGTTGACGATCTTGCCGTTGATGTAGCCGACGTGCGAGTCGAGGACGCCGTCGAGGCGCTGGAAATGGAGCTGGACGCTCCAGAAGCAGCCGGCAGCGAACGTCGCGAGCTGCTCGTGCGGCTCGAGCGCGACTTCAATGGTCTTGGTCATGGTCTTGGGAGGTTGTTGAAAGTTGAAAAATGAGAGCCATGGCGACGCACGCCCTGTGATTGGTTGGATCGCTACACTTGTTGTTTGTATGCCCATAGTTTTGCCATTTTTGTTCCATGGGAGAGGACGAGTTCCGAAGACGTCCTCGGTGCGTTTTCGTCGACCTTTCAAGTCTCTGTGCCCGAAGAAGGACGGAACGGGGCATTTGCGAGTCTCCTCTGCACCGAGAAAGGAGTGGTCGCGAGATCTTACAGGCCCGCGATGGCTACAGTCGTCGCGTGTATGAAGTCACGGCTAACTGGAACATTTGGGCACCTGGAGCGTGCATATTCATAGCTTTACTCGACATTATACACACGTTTCGAAGGGATCTATCACGCGTAGTAGATCAAGTGCAATAGTTTTTGGAGTGTCAACCGCCTATTTAAGGAGGAATGTTCGGCTGGCACAGCAGAAATGTGAAATTAGTGTGGCGCGGCTGCAGGTGCTAGACGCGTGGCTCATCGCACCGCACCGCGCTATGTTGACGCAAATGAAGCCGTAATGCACGTGCAAGTTGTCATTACAAGATATCTAGTCACACGTACGCGCGACAGCTCGCTGTGAGTGCACTTGGTCTTGCTTGCTGCTGCCCGTGTCGATGATAGACTAAAAACACCGCAACTAGTATATATTACAGTATTTCAAAGAGGCAGCTAGAATTGTGAAATAGTGTACAATGCACCGCGAAACCATGATCGAGTGCTCGCGGACCCACAGACTCACCGACGCTGGCTCCTACCTCTCGCCAGACGCGTGATGTCAGGGGGAAGTTGGATCTGGTGCCAAACGAGGCGAACGCAAGCGAATTCGCATCGTTGATTTTCAAAGGGGCGATTTCAACGCCTAGCTACACACATTGCGCGTGCCTAGTTGGAAGGCTTCAATGACCTCGAGACTACCTTCAACAGTTGGCCGTGGATGCTGACTCGGTGTGTGACCATCGATTGAGGCACCATTGTAGCTCGGGCTCTCTCAGCGCTGCAGAGTTGTCGAGGCTCGATTTTGGCTGATTAATGCATGTAAATTCGGTTGAAAATACGTTTTTTTCGCGAGACCTGAGGACGTAGTCTCTCTTTATATGTGTTGAAGAGCATGTTGCATTGGTTGAAGACGGCTGACACACGCGATAAGGCGCCGTTTGTAAAACATACATTATTTGGATGTATACACTATAAGAATTATCTGAGTTTTTAAATAGTATCACACAAGCGACAGCACGCCGTGGTCCATTTCTCTCGCTACAGAGCTCGGATGGTGCCGCCACGTAGCATTTCGGACGCTCCAAAGTAAGCTTTATCGCTGTAGCAAGTATGGGCGATTTCATTAAAAACTTGATGTGGCCGATCGCGGGAGCTGGCGCGAGTGCGCGGTGTCCAAATGTGGCTATTATTGGCAATATTTGGTGTTCGCCAAGAATAAATTATGGCACATACACTGTAATCAGGTCGCCGACAAACACTGTAACGTGCAGTACACCGGCACTAGCGTTACCCGGATGATCCTCCGGGGTATGCATGAATGAAATGCAGTCTTGCAGCCTGCCACGCCGAGCTGCCCCACCGGTTCGAGCTTGTGGAAGGACAAAGTTGCACAAACACTGAATTACGACATTTACATTAACTCACTACTGAATAACACAGAGGCCCGGCGTCGCCGTCTTGAGCACGCTGAGGACGGCCGTTTGGTTGTAGCGCAACGCCGCCGCCTTGGCCGCCTTGACGTCGATCTCGCGCAGGTGCCGCCGGACGAGGTAGCGCACAACGTTGACGTGGCCATGCTTGATGGCCGCCCGGAGCGCGCGGTGCAAGTCGCGCTCGGAGCGCATTTCGTCGAGAAACGTGACGAGTGGGAGGCGGCCGTACTTGGCCGCCCACACGAGGGCTTCGGGCGAGCACCCTTCACTGCGGTGCTCGTGCAAGAAGCGTACGACGTGCAGATGGCCGTAGAGCGTGGCCGTGTTCATCGTGTCGGGGCCAAAGCCCTCGTAGTTGTGCTGATGTAGAAACCTTAGAACGTCGAGATGCCCGCCGCGCGCCGCAGCGTTGACACCGCTTGGGTGCCACTCGCCGAGCTGCTGGCTGTGCGCGTACTGCAGCACACTAAGACGTCCGCGGGCGACCGCCGTCAAGCGGATCGACGCAGGCATTGGCGCACCAGCCTTGTGCAAAAGCTCAATCATGCCGGCGTGGCCGTGCAGCGCCGCCGTGTCGGAGACGCTCTCGTCGTAGAAGGCCGCGTAGTGCGTCCAGAGGTACATAGCAATGCTTTGGTGGCCGTAAATGGAGGCGAGCGCCCAAGCCTTGGCCGAGACGCGCGTGCGCGTCGAGAGGAAATGAAGCAGCGCTACGTGCCCGTGGATAAGCGCGTAGTAGAGGAGGTGGGCGCGGTACGCTTGCTTGCGCTGAAGGAGCATTTCGACGCCACGGAAGCCATGCGCGTCAAGCCACGGCGGAAAGGCGTCGTGGAAGGGCGCCATGTCGTCGCGCAGGAAGGTCGTGAGCTGGTAGTTAGAGAGGTGGATGCGCCGGAGGTGGCGGACCAGCGACAGCGTCTCCGGCGGGAGACCTGGCTGGAACTGCACGATGCATCGCAGCAAGTCGGGCACGAGCAGCACGTCGGCCATGACCAAATGACGCAGAGGATCAGATGCCGACTTGTTGAAGAGCAATGTCGAATTTTTGAAAATGACAAGATACGCGAGCGCAGTAACGGCGCGGACGCTGCGAGCGCCTGCTTGGATCCCGTCAAAGACGCCGTGCAGACCACACACTCTGCGCCGCCGCACCACCGACCACAAATGCGCTGCGTGGACACTCGACCCAGCTGGTCGAAATTTTCGCCAAATTTCCACCAAGCTCAATACGTCACGGTGTGGAGCAAATAGAGCAAATAGGTGCCCAGCCTCACGCCGCCGCCGCTACATCGCACGTAGCATTCGGTATACGAGAGCCCTAATGTCTGATGGACGACGCGTCGCGGTCGGGAGCGACACAAGGTCGATGCGAGAAACGTGGATAGACAGATCATGGATCCCTCGGCTGTGATAGCATTGGCCGATGACGAGCCAATCAGCGTCAAGTGTACTTTCCCGCATATGAGTCGACTGCGGCGCGTCGGCGCAGGCGTTGTGGCCCTCGCGCTACTCGGTCTCGTCACCAACTACTATCTTGTCTCGCAGCACTTGGCCTTGCCGGACGGGCGCCATGCGTCGGCGCAGTCGATCGCCTTTGACGCGCTCTTCGACCTCTCGACGCCGTACGCGCCTGCGTTTCCCGCCGCCCGCCGTGGCATTGCGCTCTGCTTGCACACCGAGATCGCCGCTATGGGCGTGTCGCTGATCCGGGAGCTGCGGTCGCTCGGCAACACGGACCCGATTCAAGTGTACTACTGCCTCCCCGCCGAGTTGGCGCCGCCCGTGTGGACGTTGTTGGCCGAGGACCCGCTCGTCGAGATCATCGACCTGTGCTCCCTTTTGGTCGACGCGGGGCATTTTCAAAACGTCGAGGCCGCGCGAGCCTTCCAGAGCTTCTGGCTCAAGCCTCTCGCGCTTCTCTTCTCGTCGTTTGACCAAGTGATGCTCTTGGACGCCGACGACATTTTCTTTGAGAATCCATCGACGCTGTGGGCGTCACCGAGCTACACTGAGACGGGCACGCTCTTCTTCTACGACCGCGTCATCAACACGGCGGCGTTCTCCAACAGCGTCGTCAACGCGACGCTCGAGAACGGAACGGTCATCCAAAGCCGCTACATCACCGAGTTCATCAAGACATTCCCGCTGTCGCGCTTTGGCCGTCCGCCCGTGCACACACCGTCGGCGCACTTTCTTGCGTCAATGCTATGGCGCGGGCACTCAGCCCACGAGCAAGACTCGTCCGTCGTGCTCGTCGACAAGGTCCGCGCGGGGCCGACCGTGCTCAAGGTCTTGCATCACCTCATTAGCGACTCGCGCTTCCTTGACCCTCCATTTTCGTGGTATACTCCAGGTTGGAAGCTGTATATTTACATTTTTGTAGGGGAGACAAAGAGTCGTTCTGGCTGGCGTTCGAGCTGGGTGGGAAGGACTACCGATTTTCGCCGTGGGCGTGCAGCGTCGTGAGCCGGCCCTTTGATCGGCTCGTCGATCCCAACTCCCTCTGCGGCAGCCTCGCCCAGTACGCGCCCCTCGAAACGTCGAACGCAACGTTGCTTTACATTAACGGCCAAGAGATCATCCAGCCCTTCGACTCGAGGGGGTATGGCCGCCCGTCCTGGCCGGACCGCTTGACGACGCTCTTGACAGCGATGCCCCGCCACGTCACACCACGGCACCGACGAGGCCCGGTCGTCGTCGACCGCGGGTCCCTGGACGAGTCGTGTCTGGTCGCAAAGGGTGCCGAGCAGCTGCATCATGACGCGCAGCTCCGTCAGCGAATTGTATGGACGATCGAGGCGGCCCAAGCTCTGGACATTGCTTTTCGTAGCGGTCCCGCGCTGCAAAAAGGGTTCAAGCTCCAGAGTAGCGTTGTCGCCGGCGCCTTTGTTGGCGTGCTGCTCGGGTTGCTGTGTGTGTTCCACGTCATGTCTTCGGATCGATGACACATTCTCCATTCAAGCAAAATTTATACACGTTTGGGACTTGAATTTAGCATGTATTATAGTACTCAGGCATCGTCCATACAAAGCACAAGACAGGCTATCGGGGACCCGACCGCAAAGGTGACCGCAAGAAGAAAAACCCCAAGGGGAAAATCCTCGTCGGAAAACGCTGATTGGATCGTGCGCGCCACCTCGAGCGACCATTGGACACGCTGGGCGAGGCGGTGCTGCGTCGCATTCGTAGCAAAGGCTGCGGCACCTTCGCCGATAAGGCATGCTTGGTCCAAGTCGCCGCGCTCCCCCAGCGAAAGGTGGCGGCGCGAGCGAGGAGTCACGTGCGTCGGCAGCGCTTCGAGCAGTCGGTGGTAGCGGTCGCCCCACAGCACTCGGTGGTCGCGCCGGCTCTTATACGGGTCGATGATATCCCGGCCGTTAATGTAGAGCAGCGATGCGTTCGAAGAATTGGGGTTGTAGTGCGCGAGACTGCCACACAGCGTGTCGTTGTGCCGCGTCAAGTCGTTGGCGAGGTTGACGACGCTGCACGCCCACGGTGAGAAGGCATACGGTTGCCCCACGAGCTCGTAAGCGAGCCAGAAAGCCTCCTTGTCGCCCCTAAATGCCAAGGTGGAGATTCCAAGCATTTGTACTTCAGCACGCACCAGGAAAAGCCGGGATCGACAAAGCGGGTGCTTGTAATAAGAACAAAGAGCGCGCGGAGGACGTTGGGGCCAGCGCGGACCTTGTCAATGAGCACAACGGACGAGTCTTGCTCGTGGGCCGAGTGCCCGCGCCACACCATCGACGCTTGCAGCTGCGGTGACGGTGCGTGTGGGTGCGGAAAGCCGAGCTCTTTTAGCGGAAAAACCTGCGCAAAGAGCTGCTTGATGTACGTCACGTTGGTCTCGGCGCCGTCCGAAGCGTACATGGTCACGGCGGTGTTGAGAAACATGCTGGCGTTGACCACGCGGTCGTAGAAGAAGAGCGTGCCCGTCTCAGTGTAGCTCAGTGACGCCCACAGCGTCGATGGATTCTCAAAGAAAATGTCGTCGGCGTCCAATAGCATCACTTGGTCAAACGACGAGAAGAGAAGCGCAAGCGGCTTGAGCCAAAAGCTCTGGAATTCACGGACCGAGGTCGACGGTGGAAAGAGCGGCGTAGAAAGGAGCAACGAGCACACGTCGATGATCTCAACGAGCGGGTCGGAGGCCAAGAGGTCGCGTGAGACGGTTGCGAGCTCCTCCGGGAGACAGTGGTAGACCTGGACGGGATCATAGTTGCCGAGCGCGCGGAGCTCCTGGAGCAGCGACGCACCCATGGGTACGTTATGGTTGTGGAGGCAGAGCACGATACCGCGGTCAGCTCCCGGGAACTTGGGCGTATACGCTGTCGTGACGTTGAAGACCGTGTCAAAGACGATGCTGGTGTTCCGGGTGCGGGGCGGGCGAGGCGTCAACGCCGCCGCCGGCACCGTGTAGCGCGGCGGCAGCGTACTTGGCGGCGCGCTTGGTGCGAGGCTCTCGGAAATGGCTAAGTAGTTGCACACGAGGCCGACGAGGCCCACGGCGACGACGACGACGAAGACCTGCCACGTCGCGCAGCCAGAGCACATCATCGACACTGGAAAGGCCAGCCTCGCGCTGATTGGCCGGTGGGCATGATTTTCATGCCATTTCAACCAATCCAACAGATGGTGCAAAGATGATGCTTGATGGCGCCAGCGTCCAAGCCGAGTTGCGGCGCAGCGCTCGTCGATGATGCTCGCATCAGGCACGTATCTTGACGAGACGACAAACGTAGATGGACAAGATGTGAAGAATCAAAACGGCAACAATGGTATTACAGAGATAGAACAGTCGGCGGCTCTACTTTTGGAGGTAGTTGGCGACGGCGGCCTCGACTTGCTGGTGGGCCCAGACCATGTGGCCCGAGTCCGTGGCCTTCGCCGCGCTCATGTCGGCGCAGTGCGACGTGCCTTCGATGAAGACGACCTTGGACTTGGGGTTCTTGAGCTGCGTCGAGTTGGAGGGCGCGAGGGCCGACCACGGGTCGATGGTGCCGCTGGGGAAGATGACGTTCTCGACATCGATGTCGAGGCCGTGGAAGGTCGCCTTCTTGGCCGCGATGCGCGCGTCCGTGTCGGTGATGCCGTACACTTCCTTGCACATGTGGTAGTAGACACGGTCGACGTCGACATACTCGAGCGCCGAGAAGGGCCCCTTGGACTTCTTGGCCGTCTGGCCAAAGCCGAACTCATTGCACGTCTGGAAGATCCACTGGCGCATGATGCCGGCGGTGTCCATGGCCGGGTCCGAGAGCGAGTCGATCCAGTCGGCCTGGTACGACGTGCTCGTGCAGTTGCTCGCAGGCGTGAAGCTGCGGGCGTTGATCTTGGCGACCTTCTCGAGCGGGCTCAACCCGTCCTTGGCCGTCAAATCGGCGCACGCGTGCTTGAGGCCATACGCCGCATAGTCGTTGGACTGGGCAAAGTTCTGGTACGCGCCCATGATGTTGGACTCAATGTCCATGCGGTCGAGGTCCGACGTGAACGGCGTGCACGGGTTGAAGAGCTTCTTGAGCGTCGCAACGTCGTCCGGCTTGTCGCTCGCGACGATCTTGTGGAACTGCTTGAGGCCTTCCGCGAGCGTGCTGACGCACTCGTCACCACCATAGTACTGGAGGCCGGTGCTGACAACGCTCATGTACTCGTGGTAGTCGGCGTGGATCTCGATCGGGCCCGAGCTCGCCACGGCGCCCGCAAAGCGCGTCGGGAACGAAAACTTGGTCCAAGCCGCGAGCATACCGGGGTAGCTGCCGCCGAAGGCGACCCACGGCGACGACGCCGAGAGGTTGCGGTTGGCGACAAAGAAGTCCTGGAACGTCGCAATGTCGGCAAGCGCGTTGTCGGCCGTGAGGTAGGCGAGGTTCTTGGTGCTGAGGTCGGCCGTCGGCTGCGACTTGCCGTAGAAGCGGTGCTCGAGCGACACGATGAGAGCCTTGTGCTTCTTGGCGAGTACGTTCATGAAGAGGCCCTTGCTCGCAACGGTCGTGTTGCGCGCCACGTTCTCGCCGTTGATGTAGAGGAAGACGGGCGAGCCGGGGCCGCCGTAGAACTCGTCGTTGGCAAAAAAGCGCTGCTTCCAGTGCGTCGCATCGCCGCCGCAGTTGCCGTGGCCGTGGTCGAGGAGCTGCTGCTCGAACCACTCTTCCTTGATGAGCTGCGCGGCCTCGAGCGACGACCCGCCTTGAGCCTCAAACTGCTCCACGACGTCCGTGTGGTGGAACAAGAACGGCTTGGCATCGGCCGAGAAGAACGACGCGGCGACGACCGCCAACGAGGCAAGAGCGATGCGAACCATGGCGAGCAAATTCAAAAGTGAGGATAGCGCTGCACGCCACCGCGTCCTGTAATCAGATCGGCCTCAAGCACATGTTGGAGAGACTGGGTGCGGGACGAACGAGAGCCATCGGCGGAGAGAATGCAGCGGAGCAATCGGTGCGAGCCTCATCGCGGCTGGATCAGATGCAGTGACCCGACGAACAACCATTACGGACGTGGAAGGGACCAAACTGCGCCGTCTGAGAAAGGGTAAACTCAGATTGGGCTGCCATGAGTTGGGTCAAAATGGGTCTGCGTACAAAGTGGATGCGCCGGACTGACTGTTTGCCGAGTGCGAGTCCACTCGCACTGTACGTGCTAGATAGGAACAAGGGTCATTAACCCTTGATACGAGCTGGCACCCTAGACGCAGCGTCAATCGCAAGCTCGGAAACATGAATTTTTGGAAATTCTTCCATGAAAATTGGATTTGGTATGGTGTGGACCAATTGGACGCCAAGTCTTGGCAATCGAGCGCAACATTCACCCTCCGCATCGGGACTGTCAAGCACCAAGTCTCCTATAGCACCTCGCGCTTGGTGACCTACGTTGCGGGCTTCTGTTCTAGGTACTCGTCGTCCAAGCCTACACGTATGACGACCAGCAAGGCGACCCAATGGGTGTCAACCGAGTGCAGTGGTACGGCTACGCACTCTAAAGGACGACGAAGTGAGCAGGCACCGGCGGAATCGACTTTACGCGTCATCTTGCTACTACGATTGAACGCCGTTCTGATATCGATGGACCCAGAAGCTGCAGTGCCCCAAGTCGGCCGTCGTTGAAGCGCTACTCTTGCGATTGGCGTCACAGAAAAGGCGCTATAAAATCTGTAGTTGAAGATCGTATTGGAGCGTACCCTCCACTTTAGCATTCGACCAGCGATCCATAGTAACCTCTCTCAGAGGACATCCTTCCGGCGCTTGCGACCGCTGTCCATCGACAGGATGCACTTGCACTCTGCAAAACAAAAATCGCCACATTAACATATTCTACCATTACGTCTACGATTCGGTCTTCTCGGCCTCTGGCAGAGGCGTCTCGTCCGTGACCTTTTTGCTCGTGACGTTGATGAGGATGAAACCAGCAATGACGAAGGCCGACGCGACGCACGTGACGGCCGTCGGCGAGATCGAGTGGCGGACGTAGTCCGAGACGATCGCGAGCGGCACCGTGAGCGAGAGACCGATCGTGGCCACCGTCGGCGTCGTGAAGAGCATCGAGAGGGCCCAGAGGTAGTCGGCAAGCACGTTGTTGAAGAGGCTGTTGACTGTGATGAGGCCGACGATCTTGCCCGTAAGGTCGCTGAGGCTCTCGACGTCCGTGTAGTGGAACGCGAGGACGAACGGGAGGAGACCGACCGCGTTGACAACACCAAGGAGCCCAAAGAAGAGGCAGATGCTCACCTTCGTCTCGTCCGGGATCTTGTAGCGGATCGCCGTCGTGTAGACGCCGTACATGATGGCGCCGACAAGCGCGAGGATGTCGCCCCAGACGCTTTCGCTGCCGCTGCTCGAGTCGTTGAAGACGGTGCACGAGTTGCCGATCATACAGAGCGCGACGCCGGCGAGCTTGGGCCACGTAAACTTCTCGCCAAGAAAGTAGATGCTGAGGGCAAACGTAAACATGGCCGAGGTCGAGCTAATGATCGTGCTGCTCGTGACACTAAGCGCAAAGAGAACTGGTGAGGTATATATGAGGAGTCTTGGGGAGGCACCTCGTCAGGCTGAGACTGATGGTGTACGTGTAGTTGGCGATGAACCAGAGCGGCGCGATGATGGCGCTGATGACGAGCGTCTCGCGAAAGTTGGCTTGGTGCGCGCTGGGCTTGACGTAGCCGAGCGCCTTGCCAATGTAGTAGAGCGGGAGGTTGACGGCGAAGAGCGAGTTGGCGTAGTACGTCAAGAAGAAGGGCCGGCTGAAGTCGAGGTCTTTGAAGACGTACTGGATGAGCACACTCGAGAACGTCCAGATGATGGCCACGATCACGACGCAGATGACGCCGATGATCCATCGGGCGCGCGACGGCGTCGGGGCCGGCGGCGGCAGCAGCGCTTCGGCTTGGCTTTCGAGCGAGGCGGGTGCGTCGACCATGAGCGATATTGATAAGTGGCTCGGAGGCGCCAACGTCACAGCCGTGCCCATTTGAAGCGAGTCGCCCTCGTATGGGCGGGGCGACATGGAATAAGATCTTCGTTTTCCTATGGGGTGATCCAAGAACGCGTCGCTTCGCCGGCTGTGTATCCGCCGCACCCAGCGAACGTAGTACCTTGACCAACGAGGACGTAGAGCCGCTCCCCAGACGCGTGACAAGCAATGCAGCAGCCTACCACAGCGCGCCGTCGCCCACTTGTAACTCGCTGCCGGCCAAATGTCCCGTCAAGAGCGCACTGATGTGAACGCCGTATTTTGATTGGCCAATGCAAATCGTCGCGACGTTTTACGCGCCTCTGATTGGTGCATTTCTATCTTCCTCACGAAGGACTGCACGCTTCCTCGTATGCGACCCACTCTCGATGCTGCGTGGCACTTGACGTGGCAGCCCGAGAGCGCTGCATTTCATGGTTTGAGCTTGAAGCAATGGACTCTACCGTGCTGGTTAGTAGGCAGAAAGGTGCGATTGGAAGGTTCAACGGTTCAACAAACACCATTCCGCAGCCTTTCGTTGCGATGAATCCAGCACCATCCAACGATATGGAGTTCCCCCGCCACATACACTAGCATTCGCTCGTGTGGGCGAAGGAGAGGCTGTTCTCGGCGGTGTTTGGCCAGCTCACGGGCGCTTTATCCGTGTCAGGACGCGCCGTGTAGGAGGGAGAATAGGATCTTATTGCT